ATTTCTGAGATGAGGTATTATGTACATTATTTACATTATTCGGACTATTGTCCTCATCTTTGTCGCCATATTTATTACAACGTTTCGGCAGTTGTACGCTCCAGCCTTCTTCAGGTGGTTGGAATGTCGAACTGAATCCTTTATTTCGCTCATTGGGGTAGACTGTTCTAGTTCCACATGCCATGTTTAATGGATGTCAGTTATCAATTATCTTCTGTTAAATTCCCTCTGAAAGTTCTCCATTGCCTTAACCGGGTATTGAACTTTTGAATTGGGTCCTGTCACTAGATCTAACCAACGCCTTTATCCACTGTGCCATGTGTCCTTGTGTATGAATTTCTGGGTATTATAAACCTAATGTCTTAGGCAACCATTTTTACCAGAACTTATATTGCAATTTTTTGCTGTTATCATACATGTTTTTACCAGAGCTCATATTGTAACTTTTGTTGTTATCGCTTTTCTCTGGCACTCTGTAATAAATATGGCGACAAAGATGAGGACAATAGTCCGAATAATGTAAATAGTGCAAATCCGACATATTTTTAATTTATTTCTTTAAACATTATTTTTAATGGATACTCAGATTTGAGCAGATGCTCCGCTTTTATTAATTTATTTATTAAACAGTATATTTATTTATTTCTCTTTACCCGCCTGAATATTCGAGAAATTTTGTTAAAAAATATACGCACTGCGACAGAATTCGAACCGGCGTCCACTGGAGGAAAACTGTCCTTAGGTCTGACGTGTCTTGACCTCTGGGTCACTTAAGGACTCCTGACCAAACAAAGTTCGAAAAAGCTAACATATTCAGTTATATGGATAGGAGTTGGTGACCTTGGGTTTCACGTTTTTGGGATCATCAGACAATCAGTCTGATGATCGCAAAAGCGTGAAACCCAGGGTTACAAACTTTTATACATACAACTGAATATATGTTTAATCGGTTATTTGAGATGAGACTGCCAGGTTCAACAAAATCAAACCTGCTTCAGTAAGTAAATGTCCGGTCTATCTTCGTTTACCGTAGTTGGGTAGGATTAGTGAATCCTTCGCCAAGCGTATTTCATGTAGTTCACGTGAGTGTTATTTTGCAGCGAACGTTCGTGTTGTCTTTCAAACTAAGTCCGTACTTTCATCTATGTGTAAAGATGTTCTACCCCCCCCCACCATATTAATTCTGTTATTTACCATTTCAAATGTAGTTGTGGATGCGACTATATAGGTAGAACGACACAGCGGTTGGACGTTAGAATTCAACAACATGTACCTGCTATAATACTGAACAAAAACTTTTCTTTAGGCGATACCATTCGTAGCACGTATGGGTCTTCGATTGCGGATCACTTTATAAAGAATCCAACTTGTGCGATGGATTTCAGTGTGAACTGGTTTTCCGTTTTGGCCAGTTCGCACTCACTTTTCCATCTTAAGGTGTTGGAGTCGCTTTACATCAGGTCCAGGCTACCTGCTCTTTGCAAACAAAGAGATTGTTTGCTAGGACTTGCTGTTCTGCGCTTCTAGCAGCTTGGTTGGTATAATTTTTTTTCCTTCCCCGTCCATTCATTTATGTCACCCATGACAGACTTTTTTCTTTTCCTCATAATCTTAGTTCCCCGTTAACAGTTCTGACGAGAGGGGACGAAACCGGTCGACTGGTGTGTGTTTTGTTTTAAACTTATCATGGCCTACAATACAAAATTTGTTGTTTTTAATGTCTTAATATATATATATATATATATATATATATATATATATATAACGGGCGAAGAGGTAACGAATTAACCTCGATATAGCGCCGCTCGATCACATACTCTGTGGTGGAACTCATCCAAGTTTCTCTTTAACCCATAGGACAGGGCCTCCACGAGCTACGGATAATATCCCAAGGCCTTTTGGTACAGTTAGTATGGCGTTTGTCTCCAATCGTTCGGAATTCAATTCTCGGTAGGTGGATGCGCACTGCCGATGAGTCCCAAATATCGGACGAAACGGCCGTCCAGTGCTTTCGGCATTCTGTTGAGGTTTCTTTCACACTCGATGAATTACTTAATTATTATTCTCTCAAATCCTCCTAATTATTTTTGACATTTTATATATATATATATATATATATATATATATATATATATATATATATATATATATATATATATATTATTTAAATTTTGCTATATTTAGAGAGAAGTGTGCCCAATATCAGTGATAGAGGCTTTAGTGTTATAGATAAAATCTATATATCTCAGTCTGTTAATTATCTATCTATCTATCTATCTATCTATCTATCTATCTATCTATCTATCTCTCTATCTATCTTAGTCTAATAATTATCTATCTGTCTTAGTCTAATAATTATCTATCTATCTTAGTCTATTAATTATCTATCTATCTATCTATCTATCTAACAATCTATCTATCAATCTATCTATCTATCTATCTATCTATCTATCTATCTATCTATCTATCTATCTCATAACTGGTTGTTTTAAGTTTTCAAATTTTTCAATTGTCAAAATATGTTTGAAGATCATTTTGATTTTTTAGAACTTTTTAAAGAATTTCTGTTCAATAGAAAAAGACAAATGGAGAAATTCCGGTAATGATTATGTCCGTCAACGTTGAATTTTTGAATAGGGACTCAAAAAAGAAATTGACAAACAATTCTATTTAAACAGTCGCACGTTTTATCTATGTTGTATTTTTTTTACTTGCTTCAAAATATCGCGCACTAAAATAAACATAAAATTATCAAAAAAGACAATGTACCGATTAGAACGTCTGAGTATCCATGAATTGATATTTCCGCCATAGGGACCTGTCTATTCAGTAACGTTCAAAATTTAACTTACAAATATTAAGTAAACCAGGGAACGTATATAATTCACATCGATCCTAGACAGAACGCTCATATTCTGATTTTTGGCGACAGTACTAGATCGTCCATAAATAAGCTGCGAGTAAATAAATAAGCATTTTTCGAATTTATTTTTTTAATCATTTCACCGCAAGCAAGGTGATAAAGCCACTAAGATTCAAGTGATTACTGAGTGCGAAATAAATATTATTAAAGAGATAAGACTATAAAATAATAAGCATTAAGGAGACAGACGATGACGATTGACATTGCATGAGGTACTCGGACATTTGGCCGACGGACAACTGGCCCACGGACATTTAACCGAATGGACATTTAGTCGAAAATGTAGTAGCGTACTTACATGTGTCTGTCGAACTCTTTATCGTAATCTGCTACATATATTTATATTTATTTACTGTATTATTTTATAATTTTTCGCTTTTTTTGACAGGCTTTTTTAAAAAAATCTATTCTGTATATATTATATTTTACTTCAAATATTACTGTAAGATGATAAGTATTTAGAGAAAAAGCACATTTTACTACAGTAAAAATCTTAAGCTTTTACGATATGAAAGATCTTTCAATTTCGCTTTTAATGATTATTATCTTAAAGGGATGAACTAGCTTTTATCTTACTGTTAAATACGAATTTAAATAATTAGGTGCTACTTTTTACCCAAATAAACTCAAATATTTTTAAAAATACTAATTTCAATAAACAAATATTGAAACAAGAAAACTTTTAACTTTAAATTTAGATTTAGTAATTTACTCACTTGAAATTCAATGGTAATTATTAGTCCTATTCTACCTTATAATACTGATAATTAAAATACTTAAAGTATTGCTTGTTACTATTTTTACTTGTACTTTTTCGGGGAAATGTCCGTCGGTCAAATGTCCGTCGGTCAAATGTCCGTCGGCTAAATGTCTACGGCCACGCAGCAAGACACACGACACAGCGCCTGACCTGGACATGTTACGTTGTTGATTGGACATTGGAGTACTGGCAACCAGACCAGTTTAGTAATAATGGTTGATAGCAGGATTCAGGTGTGTTTTTTTCCCAGTTTTTTTCCCCCGCACAACAGTTGCATTATGGAACTAACTCCCTAGAAGATGTTTCCTTAAACACTACAATCTAAACATCTTCAAGTCTAGGGTCAAACGGTATCTATCCTATATGTCATCATAATATACACCTATATTTAATGCCCTTGCAACAACTTCATTTAGTAACCTCCTACCTTGAGTGGCTTTTAAGCCTTGTATTGTGAACAATAGTAAATAAAATGTTGGGCCCATGGTCAGTTCCGGATGAATTTAAAATGAGAGCTCAAGCATGCCTGGTGTTTTGAAGGTACACATAGAGCCATGTTTCAAGAAGAATCTTCTGAAAGCGTATCAAACATTTTCAGAAGATTATTTCATACACAAAAATACTGTTAGGGAAAAATAAAAATTAGAACGTTCAAGTTAGGAAACTATATATTCGACTTCATTCCCAGTTACTGTCATGAGATGGCTCTAAATTATTTTTCTAAATAATTAACTAGCTCTGTCTATTCATAATTAATTATATTTCTCAAGTCACGTAAATGTTATAGCTCCTTCCAACATTGGTAAGCATTTCCTTCCAACCTTTTGTTTTCGCAAGTGTGGAAAGTTGACATTTTCGCTTCTAGTTTTCATTTACTAGATATATTTATTGTTATTGTTGGAAGTGTTCATATAATTTGGTTTTTATTATTTGCTAAACAAGTCACGACTATTACATCTACTATTATTAGTAGATAATAAGTAAATAATATGACGTGTACAAATCAAACGAAGAAAAATGTAGCTATATGCCTAGATTTAACTTCGACTAGCGATTTTTCTCAGTGGCCTAATCAGTAAGGCGTTCTCCATGTCAGACGGGCGCACAGGAATCTTGAATACAACTTCCCGTTTAGTCGGTAACTAGATTTTTTTTATTTTTTTTAATTCCAATAAATATGGATTATAAAACGTTTAAATTCTCAACACCGTGTCTGCCATGGTAGAGGCAATCAAATAGTTATTGTGAAGAAGAAAAAAATATATTGAGGTCGTTCTTGAAATCATAACATTAAGAGTTGATGTTTTCGCGGCAGGGTTACTTACTTGTTGGTAAAGGTCCGTTGTAGCAAGCAACAGCAGCGTAGTTTCGATAGTAGCAAGAATAAGAAGGTTTGCTTTTCGGGCAGTCCAATAAGCTAGTCTCATTGCCCGTGCAGTTGATGCCGGCCACGTGGGGGTTGCGCACGTGGAATCCATAAGCGCCACAGCAGATTGGTAATCCGTTTTCGTGCCCCAGTTCTCGGCATACCACGCCTAGAAAAAATAGAAAACAAATCATAGAAGACTAATATATATATATATATATATATATATATATATATATATATATATATATATATAAAAATATATATATATAACATTTTAGGCATTTACAACAACATGCCTGCCCGCGTACACAATTCCGGAAAATCCTCGTTGAAAACACAATTATACTTAAACATGAAAACAATAAACAAAAACTAAAACTTCTTGAAGCTATATACATAAAATAGTTGAAACCTAACCTGAACAAAATAAACTACGAAATCTCCACAAATATTCTTAAATGCCTATAATTTATAACAGAAGCGATTGGTTTATACCAACGGCTTCCCATACTTAATACTTCTCGTTTTCACTCTCGCGTGGTCATGTGTGACGTCACGAGCTGCGACGCGATTTTCGCTTCCGCGTCTCGTATACACGAGTTTGTCGTTGCTTTGAAATTTTTCATGCAACCAAAACAGACTATCATTATTGTTTCGTCCGTACATTGTTTGATATATTGAAATGTAATTGTCATCTTTGATAATGTAAGCCTAGATTGGATTTAAACACGTATCAATATGGTGATTTCCTTTCGTCTTTCAATGATAATGTTATTAAGCTTATCAGACAATATGAAAGGATCTTACTTAAAATATATATATTGGATTGAGGAATCGGAGAGCCGAGTTCGAATTTCACTCGGATCCATTACATTCACTTACGTGCTAATACCCTTGGAAAAGGTGTGAATCCTCTTCTTCTCCGTCCAGCTATGGGTAAATAGCAGGACAGACTGGGTTTTATAGCCTTGAATGGCAACTGGTCTAGGAGAAGGACAACTCTGAATTCAAAACCTGCGGAGGGTCGTGTCGTTTGGGGACCTTGTGGCACTTAGTGCACCAGGTCTCTGTATTCGACCCTTCAAAAAGTGTGGATGGTCCTGCACGAAACCTTCACCACTATAATCAAATCTCATGTGCTGTTGTCGGGCTGTCGTTTTCCTAGGAACTGATCTGCTGGACCCTACTCTACGGGAGAGTCGTGTATATATATATATATATATATATATATATATATGGGCAGTACCTTTCTTTCAAACATTTTTTGTTCGATATGACAGACAAGAAAAATTAGATGAATTTTTATTTTTTTAATTTTATTTTAGTATACTTAAATTTTTCTGTTTTTGGTGCGTAGAAGGGAGTATAATGATTATCCGTGATCGCTAAGCACTCAAACTTTTACGGCCAGTAAAAAATGTTATAAAGTTTAATGTACCCAGTTTTAAGTATAGCTAAAGTAACTGTGATTTCAGGCATTACTATAAATCAGTTGGCAAATGTTTTCCGTGAACTGCAAAATCGTATTACCCTTTGTATTGCTAATGATGGAGGACATGTGGAAACTTAAATAAAATTTCAATAAAATCTTAAAAATATATAGATTTACTTCTTTCTAATCCTTTTTACAAATTATTTCCATCGCAAATACAAATAAAGTTATAAATTTTTTAAAGTGCACACAACCTTTATGGACACCCTGTATTGTTAAAAAAACGCTTGATAATTATGCACCACCACAAAATAATCTGACAATTTAGCGTGTGTGACAAGCGATGACATATTTTATAAGAGGTTTACTCTCCAAGTATTTTCTTGCAAAACAAATGAATCGACACCTGATTGAATTTCACAACTTATTTATCTGCATAGCTAATATATAGGGTTTCTTTCAATTTTTTCCCCTTCCAGCGATATGTATTTTCTCTTAGATTATTTTGTAGAGGGGATCTGGTGATATTTTGTCTACCAAATATGGTCTGCCATAGCAAATCTATGTGTGTTGGTGTATAACAGATCGTGTCAATTCTGGCTGCCCCATGCAGTGTCCCTGAACACTATGAAGTTAACGGAACTACAGAAGATGGAAAAAGAAAACAGAGAGGTAAAGTCTAGATCAATAATACCCACTCCGATTTTAGGGGCATTTCGGGTACACATTGGATTTGTTAGCTATCTGTGCATACGGGTATAGTTCTATCTGGATATTAATGAATCGAGGAAAAGGGTACTTTTCTTTTAATGATTGTCAGCATATATAAATGTGTACGTATTTTTGATCCTGAAGATGCAAGTGTTTACTCAGGTGGCGAACTGTACTTACCGGCATCGTTTTCATCCCAGTTTTTGTCGCAGACAGACCCCCACACACCACCAAGACGGGTTTGTACAATTCCATTACTGTAAGAATCGCCTTCAAACAACCTCACTAAAAATAAAAAATAAAAAATAAAGGAAACTTTAGGAAAAAGGGAAAAAGATGGTGACGGCAGCATTATCAACAGCAAACAGACAAACAATTAAGCAAATTTATTATTAAACTGCTTATTTTTAAGCTGTCAAGACAAAATATTCCAAGAAAACCTGAAACTTAATATGGTGTAACTCAATCAATTGCATACCCCAAGCGTCATCGCTAAGTTCCTTTATTTCGATCTAAGAAAAATTAAAAATTAGTCAAAAGCTGAAAAATATCTGGAGTTTATCCGAAAACAGGAAATAAAGGGGGACCCCAAATAAACGGGAACTTTTTAACAATCCAATAAAACCAAGAGTGATGGAAGAAAAAATATTTTATTCATAGTAGTTGAAACCTTAAAACATGCCATTTAAGAAACAATGATGGAATTATCATTTTTTAAAAATTACGCCCTGTACATGGCGTCCTCCTGTACGAATGCATTCTTGAAATCTGCTGTTGAGATTCCTCATTGACTGCTGCAGCATCTCAGCTGGGATACTGTGAATTTCATCTTGAATTGAAAATGGCGAAATGTTTACTTGCTCAAGGTCACTGTCTCGCAGTGTTGCCACTTGCTCATGTCTGGCAATATGCACTTCAAAAATTCCCGTTTTTTGGGGTCACCCTGTATATCTGAGCTTTGCCAGAAAGCTGGAAGAATATCTAAAATTTGTCAGAAACTGGAGAGATTCCTTAACTTTGCTACAAAACTTAAAAGATATTTGGGTATTTGTTTAAATTTCTGAGATGAGGTATTTTGTACATTATTTACATTATTTGGAGTATTGTCCTCATCTTTGTCACAATATTTATTACAACGTTTCGGCCGTTGTACGTTTCGGCCTTCTTCAGGTGGTGTGAATGTTGAACTGAACCCTTTATTTCGCTCACTGTCCTCAAGGACACATTGCACAGTGGATAAAGACTTTAGTTAGATGCAGTGACAGGACCCAAAGAGTGTGAGTTCAATACCCGGTTAAGGCAGTGGAAAACTTGGAGAGGGAAATTAAAAGGAGATAACTGATAACTGACATCCATTAAACATGGCACGTGGAACTAGAACAGTCTAACCCAGTGAGCGAAATAAATGGTAAAGTTCGAATTCCAACCACCTGAAGAAGGCCGGAGCGTACAACGGCTGAAACGTTGTAATAAATATGGCGACAAAGATGAGGTCGATAGTCCGAATGATGTAAATAAGATATTTGGGCTTTACCAGAAAACTGTAAATATGGTGGGGCGTCGCTAGAAAACTTGAAAGATATGTGGAATTTGGCAGAAAACTAATATATATATATATATATATATATATATATATATATATATATATATATATATATAAATTATCCAGATAAATGGAAAAATATGCGAGATTCGCTGTAGAACTGAGGAAGTATGAATAATTTGCCAGAGAATTGGGAAAATGTCTGGAATATGGAAATAAAAATTGTAATGCTCATTATCGTAACATTTAGCAAGATCGAAAGAACCTTGAAAAATGGTTGGAAGAACTGAAAATTCAAATAAGAATTGAAGCCATATAAACGAGAAAATTGATCAAGCTAACTAACTTAATAAATGCAATGACATATTCAAGGGAAAATTTTAATCTGATTTCCAGTGCCTAGCGGCAAACGATGGCGAAGAATACGTTTAACGATAAATAAATAAATAAATAAAATTAATCTCCTGTGACATCGATGATAATATATTTTAACATCATTTACCAACTGTTATACAGTAAATATTTTAAATGTAAATCTAGCTAACATCTACATTATACTTACTGATCGACCCACCCGCGCACACACACACGTGAGCGCGCATATACACACAAACACACACATACGCGAGAGCGCGCACACACAAACATAAACACACATACACGCACACACGAAAATACACTTACGCATATGTTGTTAAAAAAGCTTTCAGTATTTATGAGTGCTGAACATCGGACAAACAGCGCTTATGTAAATATAGATATAAATAAATATAGATGTCGTCTGATCGTTGTGAAACTGCCAGTCGCCATGCAGTGTTGAATGCATATACATCTATGGAATATGTGAAAACATGTTGGATAATGATTATTTTTTTATTTTATTGTTAGCTAATTTACACGAGCATTTTCAAAAACATTTTTAAATGGTCGCGTAAATTAATGAACTATTAACACTAGATTAAAAACTATCTTTTCAACATACAACTGGATTTCTAAGATTCCATTTTTATATACTTTTCATATATATATATATATATATATATATATATATATATATATATAAGTATATATAAGTAATGAAAAGTTTGGTAATCCGTATGGATAATTCCAAGGAGGATGTAATCCAGAGTGCTGAATGTTTAATCAAAGCAATTATTAATTCAATTTAAAGAGAAAACAGACAACAACTTAAGGTTGTCTGTTCTCTATTTAAATTGAATTAATAAATCTTTAAAAAATTTATTTGTTTAAAATTTAAATGGATACTCATATTTGATAGATGCTCCATTTTTATTTATTGATTGATTAAACAGTACATCTAATTCTTTACACGCTGTTAGAAATAATAACTTAAGAAAAATAAAATTTGCCTCCCTTGCAAAAAAAAAAAACTCGTGAATTTGAAATTAATGTAGAACGATAAAAAAATCAGTAAAACGAATAGTAAAAACGTTTTAAATTTACGGAAATACATATACACATACACAGACAATTTAACTCTTTGAAGATAGTCTCAGATGAAACTAAAAGTATTTGGGAAAATATAAATTATTTGAAAGAAAACTTTGGTATTTTTCTTAATCAATTTTCTACGTCAACCAAGACATTGAAGGGATTTCAACAAAAATAAACAGCCATCGTATGTGTAAATTATTTAACCAAACCTATTTGAACATATATATATATATATATATATATATATATATATATATATATATATATATATATATATATACAGATGAAATGAGAACGAATCGAATATAAGTTCTAACGTTCGTAACATTAATTTAAAACAGGACTCAATACAAAAGTAGAGCTGTATTCTTTATTTTAAAAGTATATATATATAAATTCTCACATATATATATATATATATATATATATATATATATATATGTGTGTGGAGAGAGAGAGAGAGAGAGAGAGAGAGAGTGTGTGTGTGTGTGTGTTTGTGAACATAACAACCATCGTATCGTGACTGTCAGTGTCACGCGATCCTCTTACTTATTTTGTTTCCATGTCAACGCTGGCAATTTGGGCTCGTCCATTCACTATGAGTAGAATGCCTACTCATGGAACAGGGGTAAATAAGGAGTCACAAACCACAAACGCTTGTGGCACTGAACTACTGTATTGTCAATCCGTGTTCTCCATGTGATTAAACCATTCTTCACACGAACCTTTGTTTCAGTGTTTTCCTTACAACCAGCAACTATGACCATTATACAAATTTTATAAAAATGTTACAGATATTTGTATTTTCATTTCTAATCTCCCTTTTTTGCATTAATTTAAATATATTAGCTAAATTTATTTTTAAAAGACAGATTTTAAATAAAAGCATTAATAACGGCAATATTTAACTATCTTTCATCTCTATTGATTTTGTTGATATTTCAATGCGAGATGCGCATGCGCGCTAGTCGTTACAAAATTCATCAAAGCAGACGAAGAGTTTGTTGCCACAAAAGAATTGGCAACGAATACAGCAAGCGTCTCTGGCCTTTGTAACCAATTCCAAAGTTATTCTCTTCCATCAAACCAACGCCAAAATTTTGGCACAATTTCGACTTTGTTAATGTTTCCGTTTGTAATTCTTCGGCCAGTTATCTCGCCGGCCTCTTTGCTTCCTCGACTCGGGAAGCGTGGAGGCCTGATATTTATTTATTGTCAAACGTGGCAACGCTACGAAACTTCCCTTTTATCAATAACGTTTTCGGTTTGCAGAATGATCGCCCTCAGAATTCTCGTCAGAATTTAATTTGTTGCTCTGAGAAACACACACACATACACACACACACACACACACAGACACACACATATATAAAGATATATATTTCTCTCTGTCTAAAAAAGATTACATACACACACATGTGCATGTCAGCCAGTCAGCAGTCAGTCAGTTAAGTGCCATCACGTGATAGACGTTTGGGTGATCATCAAATCTTTCGATTCAACACTGACTAAGCTGAGAATTTTCCCGCAGTAGATTGTCATTTCTGTCCATGGCAGACTGGCTGTTAACCAAGGCGATAGGACTCAGTCTGTCCTGCTATTCAACCCATAGCTGGGAGGAGTAGAAAAGGATTCATACTTTCCCCAATGGGATTTGTGCGTAAGTGATTGTAATAAACCCGACAGGAATTCGAACTCGGCCCTCCAATTTATCATTCCGAATCTAGTTTCCCTAGTCTTGTCAGATGTTGTTTAAATCTGAAACCTATAATGAAAAGAAACGGGATTTTTTATTCCACCTGAATATTTGAGATGAGTTATTATTTATACTATTTATATTCGGACTATTATCTTTGTGCTTATCACAACGTTTCGGCCTTTGTACACTGCGGTCTTCCTCAGGTGTATATCGATCTGGTAACCTACTGGGAATTCTGAACTGAACCCTTTATTTAATCTACGTGGGTAGACTGTTCTCGTTCCATTTCTCATGTCTTCGGATACTGTCTTTTTCTTATAGTACATCTAAATCATTGTTTGCCCGTTTCTACTGAGTCTAAGTACATACTGCCCGGCCCAGGGATTGAACGACTATATCACCAAATTCATGAACCAACGTTTTAATCCGCTGTGCCATTGTCCCGTAACACAAGTCAATATATACCTGACGAATGCCGGAAGGGACAACGGTCGAAACGTTTTGACAACAACAAAAATGGGGACAATTTTACGCAAAAGTATGAATATTACAAAAGCGTTCTTACATTTTGTTAAAACACGCAAATAAATATTTAATAAATTTATTAATTTAACGTACGCTTGGGCAAGCAAAATCTAATGGGAAAAATACGCCTTAAAAAATCGGGTTATAATGTCGTCTGGGAATGAACACAGTAATTTGGCCGACATTTCACAAATGGGTTAACGTATGGAGTCTCCTGCACAGCTTTCAAATCGCAGCTTACTTTAGTCCGAATAGGAATAGTGTAAATATTGTATGTTTTTATTTTGAAGATACTGGGAAACAAAGTGCTCTGTCCAGTATTTACTGGAGGTCAATGGATTTGACGGAAGGTCAATGGATTTGAAGGAAGGTCAATGGATTTGACGGAAGAATGTCCGAGCATACAACAACCGAAATTAGCCAAACAGCAGTCAGTCAGTTAAGTGCCATCACGTGATAGACGTTTGGGTAATCATCATCTCTTTCGATTCAACACTGACTAAGCTGAGAATTTTCCCGCAGTAGGTTGCCATTTCTGTCCATGGCAGACTGGCTGTTAACCAAGGCTATAGGACTGGATAGTATTTACTGGAGGTCAATGGATTTGAAGGAAGAATGTCCGAGCATACAACAACCGAAATATGAAAAAATAAAATTAAATAAACAGGATCGGGATGTAAGTTTGAAATAATCGTGAGGATTGTGTTGCGCCAATGTTGTAAATGGGGAAGAATTGCCTGTCTTGATCATAGGAGAAATCTAGAACTGATCGTTTACTTCTGATTCTGGTTATAAATTCGCAGATATCTTAGACATTCTAAAGAAACACAAATAAAGGAAAACGTGACAGAAAGAGAAAGGAAATTTCGGATGCTGTTAAATAAGTGTAGAAAAAAAACGAATAAAAACTGAATAAAAATGCCATGAAAAATAAAGAAAAACAACAATGGATATACAAAGAAATGAAATAGAAGAAAATAATGAAATTTTTTTACATATATATATATATATATATATATATATATATATATATACTAGAAATGGCGGAAAGAAAGCTAAAAGGGTCGTTAAACATAAAAGTAAAGTAAATATTTATGAGTAAAAGCGATATTATATATCAACAAATTTCGTAAGCTGCCATTTGAAAGCTACACAAGAGACTCCATTGTGAAATGTCGGCCAAATTACTGTGTTCATTGCCAGACCACAATATTATAAGCCGATTTTTTAAGGCGTATTTTTCCCATTAGATTTTGTTTGCCCAAGCGTAGGTTAAATTAATAAATTTATTAAATATTTATTTGCGTGTTTTAACAAAATGTAAGAACGTTTCTGTAATATTCATACTTTTGCTTACTGGTGAGTATGGTGGTTTTCTAAGCGCAGCTTAGATGTGGTACACGACCGAAGGTGTGGGGCACCCTGTGAGAATCAAATTCAACTAGTCAGTCGTAACTGATGTAGCGAGGTAAGCTTGCTAATCATTACACCACGTAGAAGTGCCCAAGAAATTTTCTAAGCTTAGATTGTGGCATAAGGCCGAAATTAAGGAGCACCCAGTGAGGCTTGAACTCACTATTAATGATTTTATAAGCGTAATTAAATGTGGTAAAAGACCGAATGTGTGGAGCACCACGTGAGGATCGAACTCACGACACATTCGTAGTCGAACACGCAAGACAAACTTGTTAATTTTAAAGCACGTCGAAGTATTCAGAAATGATTTTATAAGCATATATGTGGCACAAGTCCGAAAGAGAGGAGCACCCAGTGAGGATCGAACTCATTAGTCAATTTAAATTGATCCTGCGAGAAATGCTTGTTAACCATTACATCACGTCGAAGTGCCAAATTGATTTTCGAAGCGTAGGTTAGATTGTGGCACAAGGCCGACAGTATGGATCACCGTGGAAAGCTCGAACTCGTTTGTTACTCGTAATTGATCTGGTGATACAAGCTTGCTAACCATTACACTACATCAACTTGTTCACTCTGAACAAGAAATAGTGATTTACTGAGCAAAGTTTAGATATGGCACAAGGCCGAAATCAAGGGGCACCCAGACTCAGACCTAGGGATATGGTAATGATAATATTAGCTGTTTCCTTATAAGGGAAACGTTCAGTATACTTACATTGACCAAGCAGTCAGTGATACAGGCTGAAATTTATAAACTCTTAAGATATTTTTTCAGGAAAATAGGTTTTCTCAAGTCTGCTGCATGACTTTAATCTCCCTGTAACATTGAGAAATAAGATTCTTAGCTGACTTGTATTTCAAAACGATTTGCAAACTATGTAAGCATGTCTCATCGAATTAGTTCCGGTTTTACGATTATAATATTGGGACTTTATTTTTGTCCTGTGCAAGTGGTAATTGAGACTATGTTATTGTTCTTCTAAGGGTGATAAGTCACACAGATGTATAGTAAAACACTTCAGGGGTAACTTAAACTGAGGACGCGAAAATCGTATTCTTTCAGGGCGCTGAATGCTGTTGCTACGGCACGACTGGATGCCATATACAAAATGCAATGTTAAATTCACGAAGAAAATCACGGAATGAGTCCCAATCAGTATTCTCGTAACGGAAAGAAGTCTTATGGATAGGGGGACTCTGTGCTTGGAATGAAATATCAATAGCAGCCACAGAGTGTTTCGAGTTACAAAGAGGGCAATATTGCGAAGCTCGGCAAGAGCGAGGTTTTTCTCTCTGGAATCTATCTTGCATATACCTAAGTCTACCATGCGTCCATGCTTAAAATATTGTTTCCATATATGGTCCGGGACCCCCGCTATTTTCCTGGAACTCCTTGATAAGATTCAAAGAAAATTCAGTATTAAAATTCAGTATATTCAATATTATTGCTCCTGATCTGGCAGCTCGGCTTCTGTCACTTGCCCACCGCCATTAGGTTGCCTCCCTTTTTTTTAATAAATACTTTTATGGTAATTCTTCGGGTGACCTCTTCGCTATGGTACCTAGACTGTATGAATTTAAGCGCAGTACTAAACTGGCAAACGAGGTTTCATGAATTTAGAATTGAGCTGGCTAGACGTAGCCGTACGTTTTATGCTAACAGTTTAATTTCTTACACTTTTCCCTTGTGAAACTGTCTTCCAGCTCCATGCTTTCCAGCCAACTGAAAAAATTAAAATGCAGTGTCAATCGATATCTACTGTCCTCCTGATTACTCATTTTTTTTCTTTGTTCATTACCAATCTTTCTTGTCCTAATTCTTCCACACCCTGTAACCCCTAGCATTTTAGTGTCTTTACTGCCTTGCTCGAGGTGATGCAATTCAAAAAATAAATAACCCGACAAGGATTGGAATGTTGCCCAATTAAATGAAATTAACCAACTTCACTGAAATAAAAAAAAAAACTCTGAAAATAAGACGAATTCAGACAAACTAAAAGACATATAATAAAAGTGGTTGAGAGAAAGATAGAACGTAGATATTCCTGCTTTGCTTACCGGCTTTATAGCAGACGACTTTAGCGTCATTCCGATGTGTGCAGTCAGTTCGTCCATCTGTCCATACGTGCGGGCATTCTAACAAAGATTTCTCGTTGCCCGTACACTGAAGTTTATCCATCATGATATCAGCGTGGGATTCGTTCACGGTGGGCGCGGTACCAACTCGTCCGTCAACGTAACCAATTTGGCGGCAAAAAACGGCTGCGTCTTTGTCATCCCAATCATTGTTGCAGACTGTAGTCCAGCGACCATCATGAAACATTTCAACCCGACCTTGGTTGGGTTTCAGACCATTGGCGATGCGAAAGTGGATTCCTTCTGTAATTATTAATAAATAATGAAAAAAAAAAAAAATAATGAAGATTTCCAATTTAATTTAAAAAATAATGTTTTTAGACAAATGTTAGCCCTTTTGGATGTTGAGGCCAAAAGGATAAATTTCTTCTTATTTTCAGCTTTCTGTTTTAGCAATAAATATTAGAAAAGAACTAAAGCCGTCTAGATTTCTCACATCGTACCATGGATGCACCCCCCCATATATATATATATATATATATATATATATGATAAGAAGGAGACGGAGATATTAATTATCCATTTCCTTTATGATTTTTATTTCATTTTGCGGAGGAGATTTCGTGCTGACGAGCTTAACATCTCGGTGTTCACGAAATAAAAACTAAAAACGAAATGGATAATTAAAGTCGCCATTTTATTATCCTTATAATTCTTTGTAATCTACATTGAGCTCTCCTGAATTATATCCCCCCTCGAATTATCCCTTCCGATGACAAATTGGTAAAATATATATATATATATATATATATATATATATATATATATATATATATATATATATATACAGGTTTTATATATATATATATATATATATATATATATATATATATATATATATATATATATATGAAGAACGTATATATATATATATATGTATATATATATATATATATATATATATAAAGAACATATAAACATAAAAAAAAAATATCATATATATATATATATTTTATGTAAGACATTTTTATGTTTAAACATTCTTTTATAGATACAAATATTTAAGTAAATTGTATCTATAAAAAGAACGTATAAACTTATGAAAAAAATGTCTAAAATAATTGTCGGACTTTGTCCATTTCTTATATATATATATATATATATATATATATATATATATATATATATATTCAAACATGTTTGGTTAAATAATTTAGACGTATTATGTCTATTTATTTTAGTTTTAATCCTTTCCAGTCCACGAATTAATTAAAAGTGAATGTCAAAATCGCTATTATGCGAAATTTAATAAACCGTGCAACAGCAAACATTTCTACAAGAAAGATTTTCTTTACTGAATTAAAAAAAATTAAACAAACCTCATTAATAATGACTTTCTTAATTACATCTTTGATGAACAAATTAGACGGGCTCCTGGGAATATTAGCATAAATAAAAATGAACATAATACGTCTTCAAATAGCTCCAAACATATCAAACTACTATACCGTAATCCAATGAATTCTAACTATAAGTAGGTGGAAAAAAAATCTAAAAAGAATTATAAACAGTAATATATCCTCTTTTGACCCAAGTAGAGAAATAAAATTAATTGTATAGTATACTAAATTTAATACAACCAACCTAATTGTCTAAAACAACTCTTCTTCGTCAACTAGCGTCTTACTAAAGATTGCATCTCTGATAAAAATGTTAAGACGTACGTTGGTTTTACAACAACGACGATGACGAGAAGTTTAAGGTTACACTTGAACTATCATAGTTCAATCTCAGAACATTTAAAGCAACACTTATGTCCACATTCACAGTTTCGACAGATATTAGTCGAACCTACATCAATGCTGAATCAAGATGATAATAAGCAAAAACTTAAAATTCTGGAAGCCATTTAGATCTGAGAATTGCGGGCAAAAATGAAGTTAACTACGAGTATAGCAACAAATTTCTTAAATGTTTGTAGCAGCAAAGTGTTATATCAAAAATACTAAATTAAGATACTACAATAAAAAATCTTAAAACATAAAAAAATCTTAAAAAAAAAACAAAAACAAATAAGCTACCTCCCTTGCATAGAGGGAAATATATTAAATTTACGGTGTTAATGCATAAAGCATCCATAAGAAGATGGTCTCATCTGAGTCTGAAAGTATTTAAGAATATAAAAATTATTTGAAAGAAAATTTTGGAAATTTAATTTTCTTAATTTTCTCCAACCACCAAGAAATTAATTCGTGGACTTGAAATATATATATATATATATTAGTTTTAATCATATAATAGTATATGATTAATATAGAGTATATATAGTATTATTAGTTTTAATCATAATATATATATATATATATATATATATATATATATATATATATATATATATATATAGGCACGGTTGAATAATGGATATCGGCTTGGATTAAAGAATCAGAGAGCCGAGTTAGAATTCCAGTCAAATCCATTACATTCACTTACGTGCTAATACCCCTGGGAAAGGTATGAATTCTCTTCTCTCTCCAGCTATGGGTAAATACCAGGACAGACTGGGTTCTATAGCCTTGGATGGCAACTGGTTTAGGAGAAGGACAACTCGGAATTCAGATCCTGCGGAGGATGGTTTGGGGACCTTGTGGCACGTAGTGTACCAGGTCTCTATGTTCGACCTTTCAAAAAGTGGGAATGGTCCTGCACGAAACCTTCACCACTATAATCAATTCTCATGTGCAGTTGTCGGGCTGTCGGTTTCCTGGGAACTGATCTGCTTGACACTCGTACGTCGGATTCGTCGGAAGAATCGAGCGAGCGATATATATATATATATATATATATATATATATATATATATATATATATATATATATATATATATATACACGCATAAGGTTTAGTAGATTTGACCAAGCATAAAGAAAAGATTAGTTTCTATTGATTATTGATAGACCATTTGGGAAAAGATAAATTCTGTATTATATACGCTGTTGCTGTTGACATTTTAAAGTCTTTTGGTTAAAAACTCATATATATATATATGTGTATATACATGTATTTGTTCATAAAATGGTCAGTTTTTATGTATTGGAATAATTATAGAACTGATACAGAAACACATTCGATTATATATATATATATATATATATATGTATGAGAATAATACACACACACACACGCGCGCGCACACACATACACACACATATATTCATACGCTCCGAAATATAAACAATTATTGCGTATTTTAATCGAGTATATAAAACAGATTTTGGACAGAGACGTTACAATTTTGAATGACAATACATACACTGGCTGCGATGGATAAATTGTCGCCATTTTTGTGCGATGATCTTAAATGGCATTTAAGACCCGCTAATGATTTACAAAGGAGGCCACATATGGAGCAAGAGTGAGGATTGTGGGATGAGATCACTGTTAGATTGGCTGATCTTTTAGGTCTTGCTCTCGCTTCTTGAATATGGTTCAGAAAGCAGATTGAAAATTGCTGAGTCCACTAAAACACGTTGATCTCCATTCTACCCGCTCCAGGGCGAAGCGCTCAAGGGTGTCATGTGGTATATTGACTGCTGACAAATTGCTTTTCAGCTTGTCTTTGTATCTTAGCCATGGGCGTCCTACATTCCTGTAGCCCTAATCTAACTGGCTGTACATTAGGATCTTGGGTATCCTGTCATCAAACAGTTTCAAGACATGACCAGTCCACACACACACACACACACACACACACACACACACACACACACATATATATATATATATATATATATATATGGCTTCCAATTAAAAGATGTGATGTAAATAATTTCAGTCTAAAAATACATTGCCGGCTATTTTAGCATTGAAATGCATTCAAAATCAAGAAGAAAAGGATTGTCCGTTATCACGTGTTAATGCAAACGTTACTGACAAAGAATATAATTTTTTCTATTACATATATTTCGCAAGTAGTTGAAAATGAAAAACAGCCTCCAATTTTTTATCGTAGAAATTTCCGGGCGTGTTCCATATCCAGTGAGAAGCGACTGTTACTAATTGCAAAGTGAAAAAGCTCTGATATTAAAAAGAAAACCTTCTTCAAGGAGACATTTTTTATTTTATTTTTATTTATTTTTTGTTTTTGTTGCAGTCTTACTTACCAATATGGCGATAACAGAGAACTCCAGCCGCCAGCGACTGGTATGAATCCCGGATGCAATTAAAACTTGTATGCGGACATTCGGATAAGCTTTTTTCGTTTCCAGTGCAACTGAAATTTCCATAGATCATTGGCTCGATGCTCGACCAGATTGACTTGCTGGCAACTCCACCAAAAAAACCGAGTTCTTTACACGTGACATTGGCGTCTCGGTCGTCCCATTCTGTCGGACAGATAAGACTCCATATTCCGTTCTTATTGGCTTCAACACTCCCAAAATATTTCTCATTCATTAGCCGAATGGAGATTTCTGTAAAGTAAGGGAAAAAAAAAGAAACACAAAATGATTAATACGATGATATATTTTATTGTATATTGGTTAATCTTAATCTGACACAAGATCAATTTGGTAACCGTAAGTTCTATTCTAACAATTTCTGCACATTTAACGCCCATGGAACTTTTCCTTGCTTTTCTGTCAACTAAAATCTACAAAAAAAAAAAAATTAAATACAATATCAATCGTCATCTTATGTCTCCTTGAATCCTGATATTTTATTTTTTCTCCTCAGTAACGTTTTCTCGGTCTCATTCATTCTGTTGTCTCTTTTGCGTCTTAGTAGCCTTATCGCCTTACTTAGGATGAAATGATTTTAAAAAATATATTAAACGGGAATAACTTACTAAAATCTTTAGCCTAGTTTGACAAAAGGCCACTAATGTGGGTTACCCAGTGAAGACTAAGCGCACTAATTTACAAAAATGGTCTACGAAAAAAGTGCGTTCACTACTACGATTGTATGCATATATATTAATATTTACCACGCTGATGTTAGTATGGTACAAGGCAACAAATATGAAGCACTCTGGGCGAATCAAATCCACTATACCTGCGAATGGGATTTTCGACTAGATGGTTATTTTTTATTTTTTGATCATTTCACCTCAAGCAAGGCAATAAAGCCACTAAAACACTATGGGTTATTGAGTGTGATAGAATAGGAAACAAAAACAATAAATAAAGACGGTAGATAGCGATTGATATTGCATTCAATTTTTTGAAGATCGAATTCGGCTGAAAATCAAGAAACCGGAAAATAATTCCACAAGCGAGAAGTGCGATAGAAAAAAAATCTGTTAACATAGAACTTAAGTTAAATCTAGCCAATTCAACTTCAAATTGATGAGACCTTGCCGTCAATCTAGTAGTGCGCTTAAATTCATAAAGTTTACGTGCCATAAATGAAGGTTCATCCAAATAATTACCATGAAAGTATTTACAGAAAAGGCACAGAGAAGCTACTTTACGGCATTAGGGAAATAATTGAAGCCGAAATGATATTGCAGATTAAACTATGGATTTTATTGCTTCATACTAAGGCATTCTGAGTTTATCACATCGCACAATTACTCCTATGGCTCACACACTCATGATCCAATCAATTCTCGTATTCACGGTTTACTAACCCATTGCTTCTAGCCGAAACATATAAAATATATTTATAAATATAAGCTTTGGGCAACTCGGCGTAGTGTGATGGTTAGCAAGCTTGTCTCGGTAAAACAATGAGTTCGATCCTCAGCGTGTGGCCTATACTTTCGGCCTTGTGCCACATCTAAGCTACGCTTTGAAAATCGTTTAAAGGGCACTTCGACGTGGTGTAATGGTTAGCAAGCTTGTCTCGCTAGATCAGTTACAAGTGAGTTCGATCCTCACTAGGTATCCCATCCTTTAGGCCTTGTGCCACATCTAAGCTACGCTTTGAAAATCCCTATAAATATAAGCTTAAGACAGAACAATACAATTGAAAGACTGAGATGTAATAGTTCTGCTAGGCCATTCTTCAAATGTTGGGATCCTACTTGTGAGAATTAACATTTGGAATACTGACATTTTTTTTTTTACCTGGGTGCGAATCTGAAAAGCTGTCAGGAAATATACGACTATCACAGACATGAGTCCGTGCTCATTACAGGCATTATTTATCACATTTTCTCCGTGTTGAGCGCATGAAAAGTTCCAAAGAATACGCTGAACCAAGTCTGTACTGAAATAATTCCTTTAAATCACTGAATCGGAATATCTTAGTTGAACTGAAAATAATGACTTCTCTTTTAGAGTGCCGCGTTTCGACATCGGATGATTCAAGGCATTCTTCGAAATAATTTACGCATTCTTTGCTATGGTAACGGAGCTAAAAGTACGCAGAGTGAAGCCGCTTGACTGAAATTGACTCTGTCGCCTTTACACACTAGGTTATAAGTTCTCGCTCCCTTCCGTTGTTTATAGCATTACTTGGAAGGAAAGTGCGTAGAGTGTGGTTGTCTCATCGCACCACAAAGGTTCTATCAGTGACCAAGGATCTTGCATTAGTTTTTGGCTAAACATAATATTCTCCAGACCGGAAAACCAAAACATTCTTCATAGCTTTGCGACTTTTCGCTCTTTAATAATCAAATCCGATTTGTAAGAAACAGGGTTTTAAGACGTTGAGGAAATCCAAGAGTATCCGACGAAGCAGCTGCTCTCTATCCTTCCAAAATGAAGTTTCAGCAATGCTTCCATCAATAGATTCCGGATAAAGTGTGGCTTAACAATTACACTGATCAACAAAAAAATCGAGACATCAAATATCTTTTTTGGCCAATTTGAGTAATGCTGAATCTGAAAATGAACTTACTTTTTCTTGGTTAGCTACCGTTTTTTCTGTACAGAAATGACTCATTTTTGAAAAGAAAAGGGCTTTTTTTATTTGTTTTCTGTATATATGATATTGACTGATGGCAATATCTCTCAAAATAAAATCGTAAAAACCTCTCCATTCGTATTTAAACCAACAAATATTGGTCTACTTATTGAGAAATACTATTTTAGCAACAAGAATCAGACCCTAAGTCTTTAAAAATAACACGATTGAATATACCAAGACCAAAAATTATTTTCATCAAATCATTTAATAAACTAACACCAGAAATAAAACCTTAGTGGACATAAGAACTATGGTAAAAATTTTCTGTTTCTTGATTGTCTGTCATGTTTAATGTTATTTAAGTCCCTTTTAATACTCCAGCAGTGTCATGTACAATGGAATAGGTGTATTTAATTGGGATGTCTTTAGTTGGAGTTTCTTTCCAACTGTGAAAACAAAATGCTCTCAATGTGCTTGGTTTCCTTCCGTAGTGAAGGGATAAAAGTGATGGGATAAATTTATGAATTTCAAACAAGATTTTAGGGTTTCATTTTTTTGATGTCACCTTAATTATCAAGTTTACTAAAAAGTGTATTACTGATAAAGTTTATCAATTAATTTGAATTTTGGAGATAAATTGGAAAAATTCGGTACATCTATTTTAAAATTTTTGACTCAAAACATTTTTTCTAATAAAAATAGTTTATTTCAGGTGACTGACATAAATTACTCGGCCTACCTGAAAATTGATGGGTTTCTACGGCTTTCATTAATTAAATTTTGGTATCAGCCAAGATCGTAAATTAATCTTTTTTCCAAAAATGAAAATTTCAGTACAGCAAAAATGGTAGCTAAACATGAAAAACATAGGCCATTTTCGGAATCAGCACCATTAAATTAGCTAATAAACGTGTTTTGTTTCACGGCATCAAAAATCGTGTTGACCAGTGTTACTTTTTCGTATTACTTCTGGATGAATATTGGGAACATACATTTTTCAGATTCTCACAAGAATATACAACTTATCAATAAAATTAACATATCTTTATTTTCTAAGATCAGTTTAGTGTGATACAAGGCCAAATAACTAGATCCAAATCAGTGATTCAATTTTACTGCAGCCGTAATATTTTGCAACGCTACTTTTGAAAACATTGTTCTATGGCGAATCCTTTCAGGCTAGCATTTGCTACATGGCCACATTAAAACTTTAATATATTGTAAAATATTTGTAAGGTTTGCGCTTACTACAGAGCCACAAGGACAATTTAGTATTTTTAAAAATGTTTCTAAGGTTTGCAATTGCGACCAGGTTATAAAGAAAGTTTAAAATATTTTAAAATGTTTTTTAAGGTTAGTATTTGCTACATGGCTACAACGAAACATTAATATATTTTAAATTATTTTCTAAGTTTAGCATTTACTAAACGGCCAGAAAGAATTGATTTTAAGGTTTGTACTTAGTACACTGCCAAAAGGACACTTCAATACTTATTAATTTTTTTCTAAAATTAGCATTTGCTACAAAGTTAAAAATACTCTTTAATACTAGAGTGACAAAGGCTTAGTAATATTTCTTCTATCGGAAAGGATTTGTAGGGTTGAAAATAATTTATCACCTACAAGGCCGCATAAGACCTTTTGTACTCTATCAAGGCTGCAAAGTAACAATTGGACAACTTCAGCCCAGATAAGGCCTCATTACCCATATGTGTTTCCCTAAATTTGCTTAATTTGGCACATGGCGAAATATTTTGGATGATCGGTAGGAAGTGAAATCTTCTTCTATGTACAATATTCTTCAGGTCGTAAACATTCATGGCTCTCCACAATTTATTGGCGTTTGTAGCTGTTAATAAGTGTTATTTTTTGTATCTCTTCTAAACGTTGTTCCACCATAAATTTACTCAAACCCACTAAGTTATGTGTTGTTTTCCTCTGTCCATCTTACCTTCAATCTGTCGTGTGTGTAACAGATTTTTGTCTCTTCCTGCCTGCTGTTACGTATCAGTGTTCTTTTTGTTTCCATTTTCTCTAAAACATCGACGTTGCTAACATGTTCGGTTCATGGTATCCTAAACATCCATCTGTAGAACCACATTTCTGTTGCTTGAAGTATCTTCTTCATTAGTGAGGAAATTGTCGATTATTCACTTCGATATAGGTGAACAGATATCACAGTTCAGTGCTCTTTCCTTTGTTTCTAACGAATTTTTTCCTGTTTCTTAATACCCTGCTTAGATTTTGGGATGCATCTTTGCCTATTCCTACGCGTCTTCAGATTTTAGTGTTGCACTTTCCGACCTTTGTTAGAATACTGGCAAGTCTGTAGCGATAATCGTAGGTAAACGGCGTAGCGGAATTTGAATAGAGATTATTAACTTAACAATATTAACTTCATTGGAATTTGAATAGATATTATTAACTTAACAATATTAACTTCATTGGAATTTGAATAGATATTATTAACTTAACAATATTAACTTCATTGGAATTTGAATAGATATTATTAACTTAACAATATTAACTTCATTGGAATTTGAATAGATATTATTAACAATATTAACTTCATTGGAATTTGAATAGATATTATTAACTTAACAATATTAACTTCATTGGAATTTGAATAGATATTATTAACTTAACAATATTAACTTCTTTGGAATTTGAATAGATATTATTAACTTAACAATATTAACTTCTTTGGAATTTGAATAGATATTATTAACTTAACAATATTAACTTCTTTGGAATTTGAATAGATATTATTAACTTAACAATATTAATTCTTTGGAATTTGAATAGATATTATTAACTTAACAATATTAACTTCATTGGAATTTGAATAGATATTATTAACTTCACAATATTAACTTCTTTGGAATTTGGATAGATATTATTCACTTAACTTCTTTTGGTATAGAATAACAAGGATGCGATTCTTGGTGAAGCTGAAAATAAGTAAAGACTCCAAGAACATGTAGACAATACTTACTTTTATCTTCTTTGTCAACGACTGGTGAGGTGAAGCACAAGGCGTAAGCGACGTAATCACAAGAACCAAGTCTGTAAGGACAATTGAGTACCGATGTTTCGGTTCCTTTACATCTGGTTTCTGTGATAACGACACTGGCTTTGGGTTCGATGTTTGTGGCGAGGCTGAGACCGGCGCAACAGTACTTGCGACCATCGACATAACCAAGCTCTCTGCAAACAACCTGGGCGTCTGTGTCTGTAAAACCGTCATTGCATACCATAGTCCATTTTTGGTTGATGTACAGCCCGACTAGACCAAAGTACGGCCAGAAGCTTTCGAAGAGGTTCACTGCAAGGTGATAAAAAAGAATAGAAAATTTATACAAAGATATTTTTACTCGATCAAAAAGGTTAAAGAGTCTTCTAGAGATGCAAAGGGCTATTATCTCCCTTTGGAAACCATGGATTCACGTGATGGGTCACGTGACGGCAAGTGAAAGACATCAGTTCATGGAGTGAGGAACGCCAGTTGGTATTTATCACGCCTAGGAGCAAGACGCTTCGGCCAACGCAGCAGAGAAAGAAAAAATGACTGTCCACAGCAGTTAAGCGAACAAAACACATGATCGCTACAGTTACATGCATGACACCAACGATGTACACATTCCCCTTCAGAACATATTAAAAGTAAGACCCTCTTGTATTTCACCCGTTCACACTGCTTGTTGTATTGATCTGTTATATTTACTCTAGTAGTAAAGAAGTCTATATCGGTATTCTTTGAGTATGATGCACGCTCGTCATGCCTTTCTTTCAGCTATTCTGTTCCGTCCATGTATTAAGGTGTTTCTATATAACAGATATAATAATACCCTGCATACAAAAGTAAAAACAGGAAATATTCTCTCTTTTCTAAAACCTCAATTAGTGTGAATCGGATTGAATAAGAAGATTGTATTGCACCAAACATTCAAAGTGCTCTTTAATTGTGACGAGGCGTACAATCGTCATATATATATATATATATATATATATATATATATATATATATATATATATATATATATATATATTAAGTGGACTCAGCAATTTTCAATCTGCTTGTCTGAATCATCTTCAAGAAGCGAGAGCAATATCTAAAAGGTCAGCCAATCTAACAGTGATCTCATCTCACTATTCTCACACCTGCTCCATATGTGGCCTCCTTTGTAAATCACTAGCGGGTCTTAAATGCCACTTAAGATTAGCGCATAAACTTTCATAACTGAATCAATAAGCTGGCAGATCCTCATACGTCGAAACCGACGGGAGCGTCTATTATATATATATATATATATGTATATATATATATATATATATATATATATGTTAATGCATGTTTCATTAAATAATATAGACAAGTTTTGTCTATTTATTTTAAGTAAGTTACTTTCATATTGTCTGATAAGCTTAATAACATTATCGTTGAAAGACGAAAGGAAAACACCATATTGATATGAAAGCTATACATCTTGTGTTTGTCATACATTTTTAGCATCAAGCCACAAATGACTAGGAATAAAAAACAAAAAAACAACAACAAAAAAAAACAAACTTTTTTACTTACCTGGTCGGAAACAGTTAATTGCCGCACTACTACGACATTGCAGACTGTCCCCCATTCCATGTAAGGGACAGTCTAGGATTGACTTCTCATCTCCTTCACAGGTAATATTGGCCATCCACGCAGGTCCACTACCAGTGCCGTAGTTTCCTTCGTGGGCTGCGTGACCGCCAATGAAACCTAACTGTTTGCATAAGACGTCGGCATCGTTTCGTCCCCAGCCGTCGGAACAGATGGTTCCCCATTCGCCAGCAACTTGAACTTCTACGCGACCTTTGTTTTGTGTTCCGTTCACGATACGGAAGTTGACTGGCATTGGTTCTAGAGAGCAAAAGAAATTGAATAAAGAAAAAAAGGTGAATTAGTAAAACTGAAAAGAGTCCCAGAAAGAGGTTACAAGACAACCAGGCACCTGGACTTATCGATTTCAAGCTATTTCCTATCTATCTATCTATCTATCTATCTATCTATCTATCTATCTATCTATCTATCTATTCCATCCATTCCTTACTTCCTTTATCTATCTATCTATCTATCTATCTATCTATCTATCTATCTATCTATCTATTCCTTCCTTTACAAATCTGCCTGCCAGTCTATATTCATATCTATGTGGAGGTTCTGAATAGTACTCGGCTCGGCCTAATAGATTTTCAAAAATCTTTTCTTACTCTGAATGAGGACTTTTGAAATTTTAAAGAAAAAGCAATAAAAACAATGTTTAAACGGTGGTGTATGCGTATCTTCTTCCGATTTGAGAGGCGCAATCCTTAAATCGTATTTTACGAAACAATTTCAATGGTGAAAGCTCAAAAGTTCGTCCCAAAATGTGATTTATACTGAACCGATATTTTATCAAACAACAAAATTATTTCATTCTAAATGATGGCCTCCATATCACTTGTATTTAGATTTAATACTCTAATATGAAATATAAATACAATTGTCTTAAATACATTAATACCAGTTTTTGTTTTAGGTGAAATGCCTTGTTGCTGCCGATACAAGTACTGTTATGGTTAGTGGCTTGGATCGAGAAATCAGTGAACCGGGTTCGAATTCCGATTGTGTTTATTAGAATACCTTTCTTCCTTTATCTTTGAAATTGATGACAGATCAGACCGGGAACCCACTCCACCTGAAGTAGTAGAAGGATTGTTAGACATGGAATTCAGATACTGATTCTGTGAAAGGAAGATATAATAGATTTGTATCTGTCTATATTTCTGAGATGAGGTATTATGTACACGATTTACACTATTCGAATTATTGTCCTCATCTTTGTCGCAATATTTATTACAACGTTTCGGCCCTTCAGTATCTGTCTATATTTCTGAGATAAGGTTTTATGTACACTATTTATATTATTCGGACTATTGACCTCATCTTTGTCGCGATATGTATTACAACGTTTCGACCTTTCAGTATCTGTCTATATTTCTGAGATGAGGTATTACGTACACTATTTACATTATTCGTCTATTGTACTCATCTTTGTCGCAATATTTATTACAACGTTCCGGCCCTTCAGTATCTGTCTATATTTCTGAGATGAGGTATTATGTACACTATTTATATTATTCGTCTATTGTCCTCATCTTTGTTACCATATTTATTACAACATTTCGGCCCTTCAATATCTGTCTATATTTCTGAGATGAGGTATTATGTACACTATTTACATTATTCGCACTATTGTCGTCATATGGCGACAAAAATGAGGACAATATTCCGAATAATATAAATAGTGTACAAAATAAATTCTTGAGACGAATGGGCATTGTGCCCAAAGACAGCGATAGATGAAATTCTGCAGAATTGATTTTCTTATTTATGATGTTTATATACCATGTGTTTAATAGGATTTTCGTGTTTTATATTTGACACCCAGAGTATAGTTCAACATTTGGATAATAATAACCAAAAACAATAGCAATGTGTTGAATAGAAATCATTCACCAGATTGCAGTTGCTTCACTGATGCACATCTAATCGAATATATGAATGCAAATATTAAAACAACCAATTGTGGTACTGTTGTAACCTAGAAAGGATTACTGAATGAGGAATAACCAAAACGGAGGTTGGAAATGAAATGGTAATCTTTATAACATCAACAAAATACAATACTCGCCAGCGGCGTGAAGTAGGTAAACCACTACTAGTGAGGGATTACTTAGCGTATTATCCCCACTTGTAGTAGTGTCCAACGATTGGCACATACCCACTAGTGTTCATAGGTACGGTATATAACATTTTCATTATTTCTTTCTTTCTTTCTTTCTTTCTTTCTTTCTTTCTTTCTTTTCTAACCTAGAAAAGGTTACTGAATGAGGAATAACCAAAACGGAGGTTGGAAATGAAATGGTAATCTTTATAACATCAACAAAATACAATACTCGCCAGCGGCGTAAAGTAGGTATACCACTGCTAGTGTTGGACTACTTAGACAGCATATTACCCCCTCCACACTTTCAGTAGTGTCCAATGTATTTATGAGGATTGGGACATACCCATTAGTGTTCGTAGGTATGGTATACAGTGGGGTGATAATTTTTAGCCAGCCTTATTTACAGAATTTTGGCTTGTTTAATAACGTCATTTTTTTTCAGATAATACCATGTTAGTATCAAGCTACTCTCATTTATGAACGAAAGTTGACTTATATCTTGCAATAAAAGTTCGTGGAAGTAAGGAAATTGTTGAATATCAACGAGGGCAAAATTATAGAATGCCATCAGTGTGGCAAGTCAATTGCTAAGTTTTTCCAGGTTAATCATCAAACGGTTAATAATATTGTCAAGAAATTTAATGGAAAGGCCATTGTCGCGTGGAACAACGTTCAAGAAGACTAAGCATCGTATCTGAGCGAGGAAAAAGGTCACTGTAGGGAAGTAATCAAAAACCGTCACCAGATCGTCAAAGATGTGGTCAACAGCATGGAAATGACGACATATGCGGTGAGAAAGACTCTGAAAGAACTAGGCAATCAAAGAAGAGTTACAAGAAAGAAGACCTTGATTTCCGAGGTTAACAGGAACCTTCGTATGGACTGAGCGAAAGAATTCTAGAGCAAAGATTATGAATTTTGGCAGCCTGTAATAGAGTCAGATGAAAGTAAATTCTGCCAATATTCGAATTCGAGGTTTATATTTGGAGAAAATCAAAATGAGATTTGGAACACTGAATGTCTGCAGGCGACCGTGAAACATGGAGGGATTGGAGTAATGGTGTGGGGCGTCGTCTGTTTTGGAGGGAAATCTGGACTGATTATTGTTGACGAACAGTTGAATGGTCCAAAATACTGTCAAATATTAGAGAAAGAACTACTCCCACTATTTGAAACCAATCAGATTGACAAAAATGTCTACGTTTTTTCAAGAAGATGGAGCGTCATGTCATATGAGCAAAGTAGCAAAGGCCTGGAAGGAATCGTAAGGAATCAAGTCACTCCCAAGCGTATCTCAAAATCCTGACATGAATCCAATAGGTCACGTTTGCGAGCATCTTGCCCGAAGACTTCGAGAGCGTGCAACCAAAATCATATAAGTGGCAACCCTTAAAGAAACATTGCTAAAGGAGTGGCCAAATATGACTTAGACAATTGTTGATAACTTGATGAAATCCATGAAAAATCGAATACAAGAACTGAAACTAGCAAATGAAGGACCTACTCTATACTAGTTCCAAATACTGTTTTAATAGGGATTGCGTAATTAAATTTTGAAATTGGATGTAGTTTATTTCTCCTGGCTAAAAATTTTTCTTAGGCCACTGTATAACGGGTACTAACATGTGAAGAATATAAATCTGATCGGCGAGGAAAGGAGAATCAGCAAGACGGGTTCAAATCCTAGCCTCGTCTGTTGCGTTCATTTTTGCATGAATACTCTTGTGAATGGCATGAATCCATCAATTCTCCTTCCAACCGTGGCAATAAAAAGAAATTAGACCGGACTCACCAGACTTAATTCACAACCAGTCAAGGGAAAGACCAACTCTAAATTTAAAACCGTGAGGAACACAATGGAAAACTAACCCCACAATCATTGCCAAGAAATCTTGGTAATTTACAGATAATAAAGAAAAGAGATTTGTGAGAAACATAATTTCCTGAATCCTGAAATGGCAGGACATTTGAAAATTATAGTAATATGGAATTAGAAATCTTCTTTTCTGTACAGTAACCTTCAAGGACAATGGCGATTGTAGCTCTTCTTATCCTTTTTAGCTCTTAGTAACGTTTGTATTTTTACCATCCTTCCACCCACGTTCAGCTATATATTTCCACAAGCTCGATATGCAGGAAGTTCTGTAGACGTTGCCTTCAATACGCGCTGTGAGTGTCAAAGATCTCGTTATGTGTCCAAAAAATTCCAGCTATTTTTTCTCGTTCTGAGTAAAATAGTCATTTTAGTTTTCCTTTCTTTTTAAGACTTCTTCGTTGCTTACGCGCTACGTCCATGTTATTCTCAACATCCTTCTGTAGAGCAACAATTGTGTTGTCTCCAGTCTTCTCTTCATATATCTTGAGGGAAAAAATGAACTTTTGTCTGTATTTTTCATTTGTTTTTTTATTTTTTTAACATGAATTTTGGTCAGCCCTCATTTAAGTTGTTATTCAAGATAAGAGTTGGAAGAATGCTGCTCTGAATTCCCTTGGTTATTTTGACAGTTTTATTCGTTCCTGGAAAAGGGATGTGTCTCTGTTCCAATCATATATATTATTGGAGTGAATAATCCGTTTCCTTTTGACTTTCTCAAGACGTATTTTATAAGAGCTAACATCCAAACAATTGCCAAAGCACACCAATCGCAGCTTTCAGAAAAGCATACTTAAATATAGAATGTATTATCTTAAAAATAAACGCTTATTTCAGAAGGCTTATTTTCTTATTTTCAAATTTCATGACTAATCTCTCCTTACTAAAATTTAAAGTATTTCTCGGCGTTTTAGCTCTTTTACAAGTGCACCCTGAAGTAAAAACTAGTTTAAGTAACACTGCACTAGAGTAACTCAGGTTGATGTTTACCCGTAAATATCTGAAAAACGTGGATCTCATTTATATGTGGAAATCAGCAAGCTACCTTTCTCATTCAAACACAGAATTGTTATTC